CGTTGTTGTTTGGCAGGCCCGGGCTCGATTCAAACCCGCCACCTTAGGTGCATGTGGCTGGCACCTTAGCCACTTGAGCCACAGATCGCTAATTCAAAGAAAAAGTTTGTTTAGGCCAGTTGGTTATGGTGGGTCACATCTGTAATCCTAGCACTCTAGGAGGCTGACGCAGGTGGACTGCCCTGAACTCAGAGGTTCGAGACCAGCCTGAGCCAGAGCCAGAGTGAGACCCCTTCTCTACCAAAAAAAAAGCTGGGCATTGTGACGGGTGCCTGTAGTCCCAGCTACTTGGGAGTCTAAGGCAAGAGAAACACTTAAGCCCAAAAGTTGGGAGGTTGCTGTGAGCTATGACTCCAGAGCACTCTAATGAAGGCCACAAAGTGAGACTCTGTGTCAATAATAAATAAAAGTCTGTTTAATAAATCTAAAGGAAAAATCAGAAAATATATCTTTTTTAAAATTACTCAAATGAAACTAATAAAAACACAGTTGTATATGACTGGTAAAATAAAACAACCCTGCAGAACGCAGGAGCCCACAGTGGACAGCAGCGTCCCTTGCTGCCTGCAGTCAGCAATTGTGAGGGCTGCTAGACAGTCCCATCTGAATGAGAGGAACTCACAGTACTTTAAATAATTCATAATGGGGCTTCCTGCTGCCTGGAAACACAGTATGTGTTAATGCAAAAAATTTCTATCAAGGGGCAGGAACAGTGTGGACTGCAGAGTGAGGTGCCACCTTTGTCTGCCTGCTCTCAGGGGCATCTTGGGGATAGAGGAGTCATTTATATTTGAAGGAACAATGAGGTGGACCCCTTGGGTCTGAAAACGGTCTGGACAGCAGCCCACAGTAGCTTAACTCAGCTTTTTCTGACCATGTGATGGTACAGCTCAGAGGAGCTGATCCATTTAGGAGCCAAAGGCCTGGGCCATCCATCACCTGGCTCAATGGACCTGTTCTACATTCTTTTTACACCTGTTCTTCTTCTCCGGCTGGGAGGGGGTTAGAAGGGTCTTTGCTCCCCTTCCTGGTTGCCTGTCCAGCAATGCCTAAGTAGAGTACAGACTCTGTACCCAAGATTAGTTCTGGGAGACCTTGGGAAGGTGTGTCGCTCTGTCCTGGGAGCTGGAGTGGCCTGAGCAGGGCCCCAGTGGGAAGAGGCTCTAGCAATGAGCCTAAAGGTACATGTCCTGTGTGGCATTGACCGCCACTCACCTGCCCTACTCCCGTGCCTGGCCAGCAGCCAGACGCCCTCCATACTCCCAGGAGGTCAGTAGAGTTTCCTGCAGTGTGGGGAAAACTGGCCCTGGAAGAGAGGGGCACACGATGGCTCAAGGCCAGGATGGAACCAGGGATCCCTGCATCAACCCCCCCACCCCCAAAGCATGAGGATGCACTGGCTCCTTTATGGAAAAAGATACTACGTGGCAGACAGCACAACCCCAGCCACACCTACCAGGAACAAGGGAATCCAGAACAATGGCCACTCACAGACCCCTCAATTCTTAATAAGTAAACTTAGGAGTTGTTTTAAAAAAACAAAACTGTTAAACAACAGCCTCCATTCACTGAGGTGCCTTAGTTCTCTGTGGGAGGTGTAAACTGCCTTCCCACTGCCCCTGGACCTGGGTGTCCACTTCCCATCCCACCCTCCTCCCAGGCCAGAGCCTGCCAGGTAGCAACCACTTGGCTACTCTAGAATTAAATAATTTATTCAAACTAATTGGACCATAGAAGTTGACCGTGTGACACGGCTGGGTTCAAACATCCACGATAAAATACCGTATATATCCTACTATAGTCAAACTTCATTAGAGGAAGCCACTGACAAAAATATAAAAGACGCTTATATTTGGCCTATGACTAACAAAGATTTGTTCAAAAGGGGAGGGCTGGTATAAGACGAGTTATAATTATAATGTAAAAAGTAGAGGCCGCTCCAACTGCATCTGCACAGAAGGTTCCCCCCCGCAGCGAGGAGTGCGCGGAACCCTCCGGAGGCAGAGCGGTCAGGCCAGGCCTGTCACAAATAAGAGCCCGACAGCATCAGTACAGAGCGAGCGCTCCGGAAAGGTTCTCTTTTTATCACGCGTGGCTGACACAACCGCAGACCTTCCCAAGGACTAAACGCCAGTGCACCTGAGTGAAGGGAGCACACCTGGCGCACACCTGAGGGAAGGGGGAACTAGGGGTGCACACCTGGGCGCAGGGAGAACGGGGAGGAGTAGGCGCACACCTGGATGCGGAGGGGAGGCGAAGGGGCGGACGCTCACCAACGCGCAAGCGGGGAAAGTCGGGGAAAGGACCGCGATGCTGCTCCCACCGGTCAGGCCCTCGGAGCGCGGCCCTCGGGGGTAACCAAGCCGCTCCTTATGCGATGCTTTGGCGCGCCCCATCGAGATCGCACAACGAAGAAATGAGGACAGCGGAGATGCCGCACACAGGCGCCTGGGGGCACCGCTCGGGATGCCCCGAGGGCCATGGATTCGCAAGGTGGAACCACGCAGTGTTCGGCCCGGAATCGCGGCCTCGTGAGGAGGGGCGTGGCCGTGCTCGCCGGGGGCGGGGCCAGGGGCTCCCCGGGCCGAGGCGCGGTGCGCCTGGGGGCGGGGCCCTGGCAGGGGCGGGGCGCGCCGCGGAGCGCCGCCGGCGGGGGAGGGGAACGGGCTCGGGAGGGGGAGGGGCGGTAAGGTTCGGGGACGGGCGGGGGCGGCCCGCCGCGCAGGCCACGACGCTGCTCCGTCGGCGTCAGCATCCCTTCGGGCCAGGAGGGCCGCGTCCGGTGGCGGGGGCACCCGGTGCGGCAGCAATAGCGGGAGTGGCCAGGGGGCCCCCGGCCACTTACCTTGGGCTTCTCCTCGGACATGGCTGCGCGAGCAGCGCGCAATGCGTGGCGGGCAAGAGCAGCAGCGCCGGAGCGGCCGAGTCACGCTCTCGGCCCGCTGCTCTCCCGCCGCAACTGCTCGCGGGGCCGCGCTTTATCCCCCAAATCCCAGTGAGCCTGTTGGCTGTCTGGGGTCACGTGACTGGTGCGCGTGCACGAGGCGCGCTCCCCGGGAGGCGGGCGCGCGCTGGGGCGGGCCCTTGTTCCCGACGGTTGGAAATGCGTCACTGGGCGGGTCCCCGCGCGGCCGGGCG